AAATATAATAACTTAACTTAATATCTTATTAAAGCCTCTATTAATAGATTTCTTAAATTCGTCTATTAATTCGAATATAGTAAGTAAGGTAATCTAGTTATAGTATTAGAATCGATATAGATATAATATTAATATAGATATATTAAATAAGATAACTAGATATCGAATAGCTATATAGATAGAAGATATTAACTGCTGATAATCGAGGCCGTAAGCGATTTTAATAGCTATCTACTACTGCTTATAAACGCGTTAGAAGGCCCTTAAAAAGAGCCCGAACGGATACGTCCTCCTCTATATACTTCTCTTAAGCCAGCGGTAGATAGGTTAAACTAACATTCAAATATTGTAGTCATATTAAACGCGTCCGGGATCGGATGATAATCCTTCCACCTATTTATGTAATTATTCTTCTTTCATCATTCTATTAATTCTATTAATTCTACCAATATGAATACATTTACCCTCGATATCCTCGTACTCAGTTAAATAAGAGAAGGATCTACAACAGGCGAATGCGGAGAATACTGCGGAGAACATTACGGAGATAGTTATCAGCAGCAGTGATATAATAGGCCTACTCTTTACGATCTTATACTAATTTACTCAGCCAGTGTAAGAGAAATCACTATAGTAGGCGAATACGGAGAACACTGCGGAGAAACTAAGCGACAATAAGGCCCCCAGCATCAAGAACAGGCTCAGCTCTCCAAGATCCCACGTTATATGCTCTCCACGATTTTATATCAAATCATCACTTAGTAAGCGGAGAACACCACTATAACTTGGCCTGTTATCCCCACTGCATTGAGGAGTAAGAGGAGGAACTATAATAGGCAAATGCGGAGAACACTGCGGAGAAATCAAGCGGCAACAAGGCCACCATCGTTAAGAATACGGCTCAGCTCTCCAAGATCCCACGTCATATACTCTCCACGGTTTTACATCAAATCATCACTTAGCAAGCGGAGAACATCACTGCAACTTAGCCGTTTCACATCAAATCATTACTCAGCAAGCGGAGAACATCACTATAACTTGGCCTGTCATCCCCACTATATTAAGGAGCAAGAGGAGGAACTACAACAGGCAAATGCGGAGAACACTGCGGAGAAACCAAGCGGCAACAAGGCCACCATCGTCAAGAACACGGCTTAGCTCTCCAAGATCCCACGTCATATCAGTCATCCACTCAATCAGCCACTCAGCTAGCCACTCAGTCTAATACTCTACAAGAGGAGGAGCAAGAGGAGGAACTACAACAGGCAAATACGGAGAACACTGCGGAGAAACCAAGCGGCAACAAGGCCACCATCGTCAAGAACACGGCTCAGCTCTCCAAGATCCCACGTCATATGCTCTCCACGGTTCCACATCAAATCATCACTCAGCAAGCGGAGAACACCACTGCAACTTGGCCGTTCCACATCAAATCATCACTCAGCAAGCGGAGAACACCACTACAACTTGGCCTATCATCCCCACTACATTAAGGAGCAAGAGGAGAAACTACAACAGGCAAATGCGGAGAACACTGCGGAGAAACCAAGCGGCAACAAGGCCACCATCGTCAAGAACACGGCTCAGCTCTCCAAGATCCCACGTCATATACTCTCCACGGTTCCACATCAAATCATCACTCAGCAAGCGGAGAACACCACTACAACTTAGCCTATCATCCCCACTGCATTAATATGATACATCACTGCAATAACGTCACAAGAGAAAGATCTACTATCACAGTCAATTGGGCCTCTACAGGAGGAATATCGGACGATACATATTTGGACGAATTAAAACCGTCCGATATCTACAGCTATTTCATTATTCGAAAGATTTCACTGCGGCAGAAGATATTATGGGATTCACACCACTAATTAGCACGTTATCTCCATTTCTTTCCGATATTTCGATACTTCTTACCATAAGGACGTAGCCTTTCTCTATTTTTTATAGGTAATTATTACGCCTAATTAGGCATTAGCGCGCCTCTCTCCATACATATTTGCCTATTTATAGATTAAAAACGCACAGTAAGCGATTAGAGTTCGATTTGACTTAGGGCTAGGGCTAAAATTCGATTTAACTTAGAAAAATTCAACTTTATGAATTTAATTCATAGGCCTTTACTTATAAGAGTATAATTAAAAAATACGTTATAAAGAATATCTACGATAAATCTAACGATTCTAATAAGTATATATTAAATATTTATAAAGTACTCGATAAGATTAAGATTAAATTCTATAATTTAGAGACGAGTATAATAAATTAGAAGAATAATATTATTATAAGCGTATTCTTAATATATTACTTAGCTCTTAGTCTTATAACTAGCGAGCTTTAGCGAAGATATCTTCTATTATATTATATCTTCTTTTTATATATATAGTTTAATAGTCTTATTATTCTATCTATCTTATTTCTACTAATATCGTATTTATACTAGTTCTAATATTATAATAAAACTTCTTTATATATTTAATAAAGAGAAAGATATATAGACTAATTAACGTATACTTATACTTATTCGAATTAGCGAATAAATAGTTAATAAATAAACGCGTTAATAAAGGCTTTATTAAGATATTAACTTAAGACTAAGATATTATAATTAATTAAGATTAAGATAGAAACTTAAGATATCGTATTCTTAGATTAGTCTACTAAATAAGTAATTCGTTTTAATATAACGAAACGATCTCTAGATAGTAGAAGAAATAAAGTATCGCTAGACCATTCGTAGAATTAGCGAATCGAAAAGAACTTATTAAAATACTCTTATATCTATAGTAAGCCTACTATAATAGCGACGAAAATAAATCTAATAATATAATTACGATTTAATCTCTTTATTAAGTATATCGATAATATATATAGTAAAGTCTACTATTAAATAATATTTAATATATTTAATTTTTTTTTAATAAATGAATTTTTAATAATAAGAGTATAGAAGATATAGAATAAATCTATAGTAAAGCTCTTAGACTAGACTATTAACGAGTATTAAAGATAAATATATATATTAAATTTTCTTTAATTCTATTAAAGAACTATAATAAGAAGAAGAACTTAAGAAATCTTATTAATACGCAGATAAGATATAGCTAATATCTTTAGAATCTCTATAGAATAATATTATTATACCTCTATAAATCGTCTTTAATCGAGGTCTATATAAATTATAAATATTTAAAGATATAGAGTAAATAATAGATATATATCTTCGATCTATTAGCTATAGAGATTATAGCTATTAAGAGAGAAAAAGTAATATTATAAGCGTATTCTTAATATATTATTTAATTCTTAATTCTATAGCTAGCGAGTCTTAATAAAGATATTTTCTATTATATTATATCTTCTTCTTATATATATAATTCGATAATCTTCTTATTTTATCTATCTTATTTATATTAATATTATATTTATACTAGTTCTAATAGATATAAAAGAGCGTATTTTCGTCTAATAAGTAACGATATTACGTTAAATAACCGAGTTTATTTATTAATAAGAGATTTAAGAAACTTTAAAGAAGTTCGTCGACGATAGATATAGTATAGCTCGATTATAGATATTAGCGAGACGAAGTAAAGAGAATTAAACTAGATTATATAGATAATACTATTAATAAAGTTCTCTTTTCTATAGAAATCCCTAGCTTTAATAGCGGCGAGTCTTCTTTCTATTCTATATATCTCGAAAAGATGGAGAGTCTCTATTATACGAATAGTCTTATCGATAATAGCGAGATCTAGCGACGATATAATAGTAATAGCGAGGTTACTATGAGGTCGCGCTTTATTTTAGTATAACCTCTATATAAATCTAGCGCGATCTTATAATCTCGCTATTAATATTTTTTTAATATAAATTAAGATTTTAAAAGTATTTACTTAAGTAACTTACTTATAGATATAGCTAGATATCTATTAGAAATTATTTCTTTAGAGCTCTTATAAAGATCTAAATAGAAGTATTTATCTATAGTATAAAGTATAGAATAATCTAAATATTTAAGAGAGCTCTAAAAGCGTCTTTAGAGAAGTAAACTATTAGTAGTAACTCTACGAAGATTCTTTAAGGGTAAATATTTAGATCTAAATAGAAGTATTTTAACTATTAAATATAGATATTCTCGAAATTAGTTTTTTTAGCTAAGTTACTAATAATAGTATCTACGCTTTACAGCCAGAATACTCCTATTTAGATCTAAATATTTACCTTCGTAAAGCCTTTATAGAATCTTCGTAAAGCTCTTATAAGAGTCGCTGCTAATATAAACTCTATAAATCTTAAAGCGTAGAGTATAATTTAATCTTCGAGAAGTTTAAATTACCCTTACTCGACTTTCATCTAGTATTTTTAAACTAATAGAATTCTTATTAAATATAATTAAAGAAAATTTCTTACTTCTATAATTAGATAGACTAAATCGCGAATTATCTTCTTTATAATTTAAGACTACTTTAATAACTTATTAAATTATATCTTAAGTAATAATAAATTATTAAATTATATCTTATATTTGAGTGTGATTTGATGTAGGGGTATGATTCGGTAATTAGGGGTATGATTCGATAAGGATTTATACTTTCGGGGTATGATTCGGTAATTTGCCCGGTGGCATAGCGACAGCGACAGCGTGGCTGTGAAGGTCTAAAAAAAGCTACATCAAGTTCTTCGGCAATTGGACTATACACGGCTTCATATTTAGACGAATCTACAGCTAACCTACAGCTATCTACCACGAATTTGGCTTCTGCGTACATTTGGCGGTGGTCACCGCGAAAATTTGGTGGGGTGGCTGCCAAACGGGCGCTCCCGCAAATGGTTTTGCAAAGAGGAGTAAGGGCCGCTAAAACGATTGCCACATCATCAGCATCAGTGCATTTTGTTTGTATATTCTCTGCAAAACATACAACCATTTACTTCGTTATGCGAAAGAAGAGACCCTGTTTTAGCTAATACCATCAACTATATTGACAAGACACATGTCGCTTTCTGCTTTCGAGCTGGCACACCCTTCAAATTCCCTCGCTCGGCCAGCAAGGCTAGATGGATACCCCTCATTTGCCTATTTCATCGCAAGAGATGCTGACGCAGCCATCTATCGCAAGTATGCTCATCTGAGCGCGAGAAATCTGCTCTATCTGCAAAGTGAGCTTCATGAATTAGAGGAACAACTCCAGCAGCTGGACGGAGAAGACGCCAAACACATTGACGATGAGCTTGCGCAAAAGGCGGCGCGATACTGGACGCACTATTCCGATCCTGACAACGCTAGAGCATGCCAACACAGAAGTCTGCAAGAGAAGATCAGGCTGAAGTTGAGAGAGTATCGTGCGTATGAAATGTAAACACGTTCGATAGATAGTCACGATAGCTAATAGACCTAGATGAAGCCTTGTTGCTTGAAAATCGAGTGCTCGCGCTAGCTCCTCCCAAATCTCGGACTTTGAAGGGTTTTAGGAAGTGGTTCATTTCGAAAACTATCCCGGTCCTGTGGGGACAAGATCAGAATCTATTCACAGACGAACGAGATCTCGTGGCCTTGGCTCCGGTCGAGACTGACCGACTTGATATCTTCTTACAATCCTACTTTAGCTGGTTCTTCAAGGTAAATTTGTAAATGAAAGACCGAGTCACCAGGCTGACGGCAATTAAGGAGAAGCAACAACCTGAAAGTGGCGATGACACCTATGGCATTAACAGGGAGATTTTTTACTACCCTCAACGACGCATTGAAAGAGCTGGCGCAGTACTATCAGTACTATTCAGCGCTATACTTCTGATTGGAGCCATAGTATGCTTACTCCTGGTATCAGACCGCAGCATCAATATAAGAGTCGGACTCATAGTGCTCTTCATATCGCTCTTTGCTCTCGTTGTGGGCTTGCTAACAAATGCGCGGAGAGCGGAGATCTTTGGGGCTACAGCTGCGTGAGTACTGCGAAGCTGAATTTCTGTCGCTTTGTACCTAGCTCATGCTGACGAAGATACTGTTATAGATACGCAGCTGTCCTCGTTGTATTTGTCAGCAACGATTTTGGAAATAGCATCAAATGAGGGAATTTTTGGAATTCGAAAAAAACCAACGAAATCTGCTCAGCGTCCTATTGACTCCGACAGAAGATTTTCTCCCGCTTGGAGAATAAGAACATCGTGTCTCTTGCATCATATTGGTAACAAACCCTCCCGCTTAGATAGTACGACGATTTATGGCTAGTATGAGTACATGCACTCACAGTGTTGTCAGATTGGTCTCATGAGCGGCCATGTCCGCCCGGAACATATATCAGTACCCCTGGTGGACAATCGTCTCTCCTACAACGGCAAAAATGAAGTAACAACAAGGGCAACAAATGGTTCCAACAGGCTCAAAACTCCTTTGAAGACGACATATGCTGGTCAGAGGTACATGCTGTTGATAAATATTTCACAATGAGAGGGGCGCAACAGCCGGACAAAATGCTCGCTTAGCTACGGATAGACCTTGAATCTAGGGGGAGAGGTGATGTATGAGAAAGAATACCCTCCACTACGATACAATATGTCCCCAATACCGGATATTCTTCAAGGTATGTGCTCCACGCCTCCAATCTGCGCGCCACCAGTCCAACTCCACAATACAGAGGATACTATTCTAGCATAGCAACCGCTGACCAGGAGCATCTCAGTCTTGTATATATCGGGGCAGTGCTACTACGGCACATCTGTTGTCCGAGTCTGACAGAAGTCGTCGCGCATGCCCGGATCTTACGAGATTCTGTAAAAAAGCAAAAGTCAACCAATTCTTTTTCAATCCACTCACCCTGGCAATGATTACTATTTAATTCATAAGTCGAACACAGCTTATCGACCTCGATCATTTTACGCCAGAGTTTTTCGGTGTAGAGCTGATTAGGATGTTTGAATAAGCGACGTACGACGGTTTGGTGTTACGGGTTGTGGCGAACGTGGGACGCTAGTAAAAATGCAACACGCAGGTCATGACTCACCGTCTTATAACCTTCTCTAAATGAGGACACCAACCCATTTATTTCATATAGCTGATATCGCTTGATCTATTGGTGTTCTCTATTAAGGGGCGGACTTCTGCATGATATGAGTACTATGGCTTACTAAGCTCGAGGAGTCAGGCGTTTATTCGGCTTCGGTGATGATAACGATATGATTCATGAGTCCTCTACTGCGGGGCCTTTGCGGAGGCTTTAATTCGATCAAAGATGAATTTGCCAATCATTCCAAGGGAGAGAAGGATCTCTGGTATAGTCAAGATGCCAAAAGCTATGTCAGCTATTCCTGGAGAAGGATTGCCACAATCAACAGCGTATGGAGCTATTATAGTGATCCAAGAAACATTTCATACTGAAGTGAGCTTTGTGTCTGAAATGCGACGAGACAGGAATAGAGCAGGACAACAGGGGCTGTGAGCATCTAAGCCTTGCCCTTTCTTGATGTTGCCTGACACCTAACAAATCCAAAACAAACGCAGTCGCGGTGAACAAGGCAGTTGCTGAAAAGTAGGAATCAGGCAGCAGCTGGAGGGGCGCAGTCACTGAAGATCGCCCTCCCTTTAGCGTATTCATATTTTAGAATACTTAGCACTGAGATTCTCACACACACCCCACTAAAAGTAGTATTGAGTAGATGAATCTTCTCCCATATCGTATTCTATTATCTTTCTTATCATATTTAGAAGCTTCTATATATCTCGCTTAGCCGATTCTTGGTGTTTTATCTTAATATTTCGAAATATCTTCTAATCGACGTAGTTAGAGCCTTTTTCCTCTATCGATCTCCTCTTTAATTAAATAATTTAAGAGATCTAAGAAGACGTTCTTTTATATTTAAGCGATTATTGAGAATAGCTAGTTAAGCCTTAATAATAATTAGCGAAGCGTAGCTACCCTCGCTTTTAGACTTAAAGATTCTTATATTAAAGTCGTCTATAAATATATAACTCTAAAAGATATATAAGCTTAACGGACTATAGTAGTAGATAGAGTTAAAGCTTAATAACGATAATAGAAAAAAGAATAGAAGGCGGAGATAGTCGAATATAATAAAGAGGAGGCTAGATATTATCTTATTAAAGAGCGTTAATTAAGAGTTATTTAGAATAAGTCGATTACTTTAAATATAAAGGAATTAAAGACGAAGAAATAGATTAATAACTCGTCTTTAAATCTATTAGCTACTTTATAAGTTAATAAGCGTCTAGAATAATCTATAAACCTCGAAGTTTAAAGACTTAACGTATTTAGTATATTATTATTCGAGTAAACGCTTATTAAGATAATTAAGAAAAGAGATAATTACTCTAAGAACTGAAAACTCGTTAATTATATAATTAATATATATTCTATTTATAGTAGAGTTATACGAATTCTATAATTAATCGACGATCTTTTTAAGATTAAATAAAATAAGACTATTAAAGTTATTACTTAGAAAGCCGATAATTAGAAGCCTGAATTGATTGTAAAGATCGAGATCTCAGCTAAGGTTAATAAGTCTTTATGAAAATCTAGGCCTACGTCTACGTTAGTAAAAGAATCTATATTAGTTAATAGACTTATTTAAATAAATAGATTATTAAATAGAGTAAGAATTAAAGCGAATATACTTTAAACTATTAATAACTTTAATAAAGAGCTACTTAATTATTAATAGTATTATAATACTCGCTATAGAAATAAGAATAACTAATACTTCGTCGATTACTCTAATAAGTATTATAATATAAATTATACTTAATAGTCTTTTTAAAGTAAGGTTATAGTAAATAATAAATCGAATATATTAATCTATCGGCCTCTTATTAAGCTATATAATTTCTAAGTTTATAATTAAGACGCTATAGATATAGACTCGCGAAAGTCTCTTTAGAAGATTAAAAGAGAGAAGACTAAGAGCGAAAGAGAAGAAGCTATCGACTTTATAGTAAGATATATAATCTTTAATAAGTAGTAGCTAAAAATGCGATTAGCTAAATCTATAATAAATTCTATAAAATAAATAGTCTTATATTAATAGTAGTAAAGATCTTCTTAATTTATAGTATATTCGTCTATATATTAATAAGAATATTAATCGCCGAGACCTTAGTTATAGTTACTATATACTCCGTCTTCTTCTTAAGCGTATCTATCTTAAGCGTATTTATCTTAAGCGTAATTAGAAAAGAAGCTTAAGAGTTCTAAGTAAGAGAACTCTAAGTTACTTAACTTACGTACGTTTACGAAGGTCGATATTAAAAGTTCTAGATATGCTAAGATAAGGGTTTAGATAGAGCTAAGTACTTAATATACTTTCAAATTTCATAAATAGCATTATTATTCTTTATTTTAATAAGTACTAGTACTCTATATAATAGCGACGCTATATATATATACGAAGTATATATATATAAAGTATATATATACGAAGTATATATATAATAGCGATATTAATAGAATATATAATAGTAATAATATTAAAGTATTAGTTATAGTATAGAGGAATAGAGAAAGAGTATAAAGACTTCTAGTATATAAATCTCGTTTATATAATATAATAGATAGAAATCTTCTTATTATTCTCTATCTTAATTATTTTTCATTAATATATCTAATATTTAGAGTATTAATTATAATAATAGAACTCGAATTTAAGTACTTACTTTAACTGAGGCTAGGATTACTACTAAGATTATTACTATAATTATCGAAATATCTTATTAAATTATTAATCGATTTTAGAAATAAGTCTATAATAGAGGATATAATCTTACTATATTTAAAAAGCTCTTAATATTATATATTATAGATAAGTCTAGATTTAAATATTCTCTAATTATTATATTTATATTTAAGAGTATAATTCTAGATATTATATAAAAAAACCGCTATAGTTATAAAAAGACTTCTTTTATACTTACTATTAAATAAGAGATCTTATCTATAATAGTACTACGAGTATTTAAACGTAATAATTTTCGAGTCTATAAAATTATTAAAAAATCGTCTCTTATAGAAGCTATAATAAAAGTACGTTATTAATTTACTTTATAATATAAGAACTAGATTATAAAAGATTAAAAAAGAGTAATTTAAAATAATAAGATTAATATAATCTTAAATTCTCGACGAAAAAGAGTACGTATATAGTATTAATTTAACGAGATCTTCGTTAAATCTAATATACGACGTTGTTTCGTAGATGCTATAAAGTTTATATTCTAAGAGTATTTTTTCTATAATAAAAAGAGTTCTTACTATATCTAGAAAATCGAGATTACTACTAAAAAGAAGAAGTATATCGAGAATCTCGCTAAAATTAATATTACTCTAGAACTTAAAGTTAAATAAGCTTAGAAACTTAAAATCGATATAAGATATATAGACCTTCGAAATTCTTCTAATAAGAAGTTCGTATAAAACTTTACTATTAAGATTAAAAAAGTTATTATTAAGGGGAAAAAGAGGGGAATTAATTGATATCGCTATTAGAAAAAGATATATATTTTTATATTTCTTATATTTCTTCTTTTTATTAGATATAGATTCTTATTTTAAAGCTTTTAAAGTTCGCTTAGAAGTATAAATAAGAAAGACTTAATATAATAATTATAAAAGATAAAGTCTCGATATACGCATTAAAGTATTAAGAAGCGATATTTATATTATTTAATATCGTTAGAATAATCTAATATAATAACTCTTTAAATCTTAATATAATTAAATTTTATTAATTATAAATAAAACGTTATATTACTCGAAAAGATATATTAAGAACTTATAAGAAAGTCGAAAGACGGTAATTATATTATTAAAATTATAAGTTTATTTAAAAGAGAATTTAGAAGTAAATAAAGCGAATATCGAGATATATTATAAAAATAATATGTCTTAAAGATAATAATAAGTATAGAAAAGATCGTAAGAGAGATAATATACGATTATATAACTTCGTCGAATGAGTTAATAAGTATATACGTAATTATATAAAGTATTATTATTAAATAAATATAATTATATAGAAGTATTAAGAATATTAAGAGTATTAAGTATTTTAGCGCTATC